CCGAAATTCGAGGACCAGTATGTATAAGAGGTTTTTAGCTAGCGGAATTTCGAGTAATCTTGTTACAGCACGAGACGCTGCAAAAACGCATGATCGCACGGGGCCCCCCAGTGCGCGTCGCCAATGATTTTTTTTTTTTCAGCCGCGCATATATATCACAAAAAAAAAATCGTTACAGCGGTGTTTTTCTCGCCCAAAAAAATCGAGGGTTTGATTCCCCAGTGAGATAATCAAGCTTTTTGCCATTTATTCTTTCGTGTGACAAATTAATGCTATTATATGCCTGGGAGTCGAAACTGTTATCAGCTTACTTTGGAAAGAGGGAGCCATCGATAGTCCTGCCAGCGGGTTTTGTTTGCAGCTTAGGGATGAAACACAGACAGCCAGTTTCACATTTAGCTTCCCTACATGTAGCTTTCCTCCCTACATTTAGCTTTCCTCCCTACATCTTCTTAACTTTTTATAATACGCATATGCGTTTCACAATCTATTTCATTTCTTCTTTTCGTGGTCTCACGACGATCCATTCATTCATTCATTCATTCCGTTTACTTTCAAGAGTCTTCATTTCACGTCTCTACGTTGATAAAAAAACAACTTATGCCCTTTAGAACTTTGGTAGCAGTATTTTTCAGAAAAAACCTTATCGCTTGGAAAGTGTAAATGAAACTAGAACTGAAACAGAACAAGAAGGATAAAAGTGGCCATGGTAGAAGGAGGTAAGGGGAAAGTAAGGAAAATTAATTTTTGCATAAATACCAGAAATATAATACAACGGGGAACCTTTTTCCTCGAACCAACAATTATCCTTGATCCATCGGCCGTGAACGAAGCACGCGAGATTGGAAATGCTTTAAATCGCACATCCTGCAGGAAAGCATCCTCCGTTCCGGGTAAACCCACCTAAAATTTCTTCATTTTAGGGCCAGATAACATAAATCTTGGATCATTAGCACTGCTTCTCTTGAAAAAAAAAAATCAAAGCAATACAAATTTACAAACCTCAAAAAGACTCAACCGGCCATCTTCACCGGCGCACATAAGCACCTGACGCGTTGGATGAAACTGCAGTGATCTCATTGGTTTCTGAAATTAATTAAACTTTTATCTGGCGA